TCACTGTTTCTCAACCGGGTGTTGAGGGACGGTGAATTAATATACATTCATTGGTGATCAGTTATCAAATAAAATACTCAATTCTATGACCCTGAATTTGCCACGTTTTGGTCTAATAATCCCCTACAGTGGCGGCGGCACATCAAGTTGAAAGTATGTCAGCAAAATTTGCCTATCAAAATGCAGGAAATAGAGTTTCAGAGGGTCTAGCTTTCAGGACCCCTCCCCCTCATGCAAAAATTCATTCCGTCGCCTCTACCCTAATCACCGTCCCTCAACACCTGAGGGACGGTGCCCGAATCAATATTTTGCTTTATGTAATTATCACTTTGCACTGCACAGCAGAAGGATTTTTTAAAGATGACTGGATAATTGATACACTACACATTATTTTAAATCCCCTAATGGTGCACATTCAGCCTCTCACCATGAATTTCTGAAAATTATATGAACCCCCTCCCAGTTTTCAAATGAGTTTTAAAGCGACCCCTTAACTAAGAAAACTAAATCACCCTAAAATTTAAATCTGGAAATAGCGTTGCTAATCCATTTTACACAGGTCAAAATCGCCACTACTTCGCAAACTGGGTTAATGTTAGTGCCGTGTTCTGCACTGGAGTCCCACTGAACTGGCGGCAAGCCACATAGTACATGGCGACACAAATGATTGATCACAGAGTCTAGCATAACCGCGTGTTGTTTACTTATTCAGGTTCCAGTCGTTTATCGAAAAGTCCGGCTAATAATAAATTTAACAGCCCACACAAACCTCAATATCAGCCGTATCTTTACTCAACGCCATCGTAATTGTTGCATAACCTGGACTCTATGAGCAGAAAAACCTGGGGCCGTGCGTCACGTGAACAAGCGATTAGTTAGTAGTCCAGACCATGCTTGACATCACACATGCTAAATGAAGTCGTGTCATAGAACTCTGAGTTGTGCTGATGTGTAGCCATTATAAACGAAAGTTTATTAGATAGTATTACAAGAGGGCGTCATTCTCAAAAAGCGTGAAAGCGGGAATAATACTGTGACAAGCACGGTGACTCGCACCCTTACAGGGATACGATATATAAATGCATACTGTATGGAATGATTGATCTAACACTTTCATTTTTAACACTTTCCGCATTGTAGTGGAGTAAATGTATACTGCCAAGCTGCGGTGAAGTTATAGAAACACGACAATGAATATACTAGTATATACAATTCATATATACTCTCAAGCATAGACCCTCTAACATAGATGGTCTATGTCTCCAGCAAAGATCCTGGCACAATTAAAGAACTTGCCAATTATATTTACACAACACAAAGATTTATTTATCATTTAAATACTAGTTACGTACTTTTTTTTAAAACTTCTTTTTGCTGTACTTATCCTATGTAAATTCTTTTTACACTGAGGCAATAAAGTTATATTATTATATATTGATTATTCATTTCACGGTAAGTATTATATGTGTACACTTTATGATACTCATCGTTATCAAGTGATTATAAAAAAATCAAGTTTTCGATTTATGGCTCCGCCAAAGAAAACTAATTGCGACTATTTACGTATCTAGCTTGTTATTCTCATTAAGGATAAGATAAGTTTGCTCAATGTCAATGTCAATGTCAACAATTGTACATTGCACATTGATATGTATTGCCTTTATGTACATAGACCACTGTAACTATGTATTAGTGTTACTTTGAATCTTGCGTAAAGAATACATGCAATAGAATACACAACAATTCTAGGTCCAGCTTATACAGATCAAATAGGGAGACTTTGTACAGTGAAAAACTACACCAGTTTCAAGTACCGTCTCTTGCAAGAAGCTATTTTCAAAATAATACAGAAATAAAGAGCAGACATTTAAAATGAGTTTTCAACAACTTCACACTAAAAACACTATAAGACACCAAATACAAACAGATCGTTTGACAAAAACACGTTAAATTCTTAACGTCCCAAATATCAATTAGAAGACGGACCACTTGATACAGGACTACATTTATATAAAAGTGATAATTACAGTGAAATGACTGGTAACATTATACATCACAGTGTCTCTCTGCATGAATCTTCAACCATGGTCACCATGGTGATCCTAACAAACAATTTGTAATTTTACTTGGGCCCTAATGCTTTATTTTCATATTGCAAAAACCATTATAGTAACGTACGTACTGATAACACAGATGTGTTTCATGTTTAACTATACCGTTTTTTTTACCAGCAACAAAATTAATAAATGATTCATATGACCCACTAAGTTAAACTATGGAGGTAGTAAAAATTAGAATTCTTATTACCTCCATGGTTAAACATTGAATTCAAACCCCGACATTGTTTATCTCCGAAATTACATGACTCGACAACGATAATAATATTTTTTTTTCTATATTGCTCAATGAGCCCCAATGAGAATGACGGAAACGTTGCAAACTACAGTAACATTGTAACGCGGCCATAACATCGAAAAGTAACATTTGACATCGTCGCAAACTACGCCCTCTTTCGGCAACTGACGGGGGCGGAAAAAATACTCTGGCCGGCGATAATGCATTTTGATAACAACACCTGACTGGTACATGTTTCAAAACCAGGTATGTTATTTATTGGAATGTTACTCGTGAGTGTTGTTTAGTATTATTTTTTTACATGTGCGCATATTTTAGCGCATATGGCAGTAGCAATATTTTTTTTTTTCAAAATGTGTCTACAATTATTCATTATTAATCAATAGTATGTGAACTGTTTTGATTCACTGTCAATCTATATTTTTTGAGGGGTAAAAAAGTTAAAATAATATGCATAATATGCCATTCTAGCAGTGACTCCAAGTACCTGTCTGCATGGCAACCAGATTTACATCTATACCAACATTTAATAGATTAATCATTGCATGAAGCACGCGCGGATTTAGGGAGAGGCGCGCCAGGTGACAAATCAACTGACAATCCCAGCGCACCTTTGGCCGCGTCAATAGGAGCGCCCCTTACCGAATTTCTGGACCCATCAGTGTCAAAGACAATCTCTCCTAAAATTATGAAAATTCTGTCATAATTGTTTGAGTTATGGATGAAGAATAATTCCGAAATTATTGTTTCCATGGTAACCAAGTCTGAAACACTGCAAAAATATGATAAATTGGTCCATATCAAAGGCGATCTCCTCCTGAAAATCATATGTGAATCCATCCGTAATCCGTCACAACATAAGAAAAATAATTCCCGAAATTGCTGGAATCGTACCCATATCTGTACCAGCTTCTGTATTCGTCCTTGTATCAAGGTCAACCCCTCCTAGAAATTTGATGAAATCCATCCACATATTTTGAGTAATGAATGAAAAATCACCCGCAAAATTGCTTTTCCCACTATAACTTTACCCATATCTGAACCAACATTTAATGGGTTCGTGAAAGGACAGCTCCTCCTAGAACTTAATTATATGTGAATCCGTCTTTAACATTTTTAAATTGGCCTGCTAAATGTAAAACCAACAAACGAACCCTACCTAAAGCATAACCTTCTTGGTGGATGTAATAACGACGAGAAAATAATAATACAACACGCAAAATACATAAATGAATGTTTTAAAATCCGACAGGAAAACAAGACGCACCGAAGTCGGCAGTCTCAAAATTAGTCCATCGTGTAGCGAGCATACATGCATTTATAAACTGAATCACGTTTCACAAACAATTGTAAACATTTTATTGTCATATGCATTTCGAATATCGTCCAATGATTGGTATAATATACAAGGTTTGTTGATTTCGAGTAAAATGATTGACAAGATTTTATTCTGTCATAAATTCATTTTCAAATACAATGACAGATAATTTTTCCTCTGAGCTGGCGTGAGTATGTGTGATATGTATAGTGGAATACAGAATGTATATTCCATATTAGCCCTACGAACAGTGCTCCAAATTTCTAAAAGTGTGGAGAGGCAGCTGACTCTTTGCCATTCTATGTAGAAAATTGTCAGCGCATTTTTGTAAGCCCAATGGAATGGAAGGCGCGGGGTTCGAAGCAAGGTGTTCGTTGTTCACTTGTCATTATGTTAATCAAGTCTCCATGGCGACAGAGTACGCGGTCCGCCATTATCCTGGAGGCGGTGTATGTGTTTGCATTGTAAATTTATCTAGCACTTAATAGATACAGATTTTCTCGTTAGCAATGTGCACTTGATCTTGCGGTGATATAATCTAAATCCACACGCTAGATTCTTACAGAATGTCTGACAAGAAGTTCAGGGGTGCTCCGTTCGGAACGCAGAAATCCAGGTAGGTTTCCGTCTCAGTGTTGTTACCAATCACCACCTGTTCGACGCACTCACCGAACGCGATAAACATGGCTACGTTTTTGTGCCGAGCAAGTCAGCCTAGCGGTCTATGTAACACCATTTCTATACCGGCTGTCTATCGACTTGACAGAGAATACGCAAGTGAACTACGTTGTACTTGATATTTGGAAATTCGGTAAGTATTCTCTAGTGGGAATACGGCGTAATTTTTCGTCTCTGACACTATACTTCGTACACGTCTTCACGACCCAATTCCCGTAGACGATTTGTCAGACAAACTCTCATACTCATTCGCTGTTATTTTACATAAAATATACAACAAAGCAAAACATTCAAGAAAGAAAAAAACCAATAATAATTTATATGAACTAGTAAATGCGAATGTATTACAAACATATACCGCAGTGAACTTTGACAGAGTGTGCTTCGTCCACTTGTCATGTAAAACCGCTAGCGGCCCCTTAATCTATCCTAGATTTACTGTAAACACGAATTGCCCTGAACCTGTGAATTCGATTACGCAAAGAAACGGACGTGTAAAAAACTTGGTTACAACTGTTCACAAGACTGGATACACTTGTCATAATGAAGTTGTTGACATTTATGGAGATTAAAACAAACATGGCAGTGTAGACATTAAGTAAATACAACAAGATCAACAGAGTTCAAGTCCTTCTCTATTTCCAAGCAGCCTTTGGGACAAACAACCATATAATATTTTCTTTTTGATTAATTTTAATTTGAAGATAACTGTTTAGGTAAATAAAATATTTTGATTTCTTGGAGCATTTGGTATTTCAAATTCGCTTTAAATATTCCTGATGAAAAAAATAATAATGTAGACTAACTTGTAATATTGACCATACATACATTTCATATTTATGAAATACAATATTATACAAGAATATGTTAAAAGTTTTCAGAAAAATATTTTGTAATATTATGATAATAAATCAGCAACACAAAAGACTATGGTGATAATTTTTTTAAAAAACAATACAGATGAAAAAAACAATGAATATCACCATGGTAATAAGTGAATTGATAACATATTCTGTATATTTGAAGCATGTGTGAGGAGCAGTTTGACAGACAAATTTTCATAATGTACATCAGTGCTATAACAGAAAATACAAAAAAGAGTTGATCTCATTTTGATGACTTACTTTATTATTTTTCTCAATAGATTTGACGTGTCTGGAGTTCACCCAAAGAGTAAAATGCCAGGTACTTTTACTGAAGTGCCATACTGTCGAAAATCTATGGATGAACTTGTAAGTTGAATGTGCATGTGTACAAACAATTGTGAGATCCCATGTTATTATGTGAAATAAAACACTTGATAATATGCTATGTGCATACGATGATGATTAAATTTGATGAAATAAGGGTATCTCAAGGTCATATATTGATATTGAGCTATAAAAAAAGAAACTCAAAATCAAAAATCAAATCGTTTGATTTGTGCGGCAAATGTTCATTCTGCGAATCTTGTAGCAAACGAAAAATCCCCTATTGGCTCAATCAGTCTGTAAAGATTATTGTGTATTCTATGTTTTGATGCTTCTCTTCTTAACACAACTGACATCATCACAGAATGCTATATATAGAATGTGTGAAAGAAAAAAAATAAAGACATGTGTGGACGATAAAGACATTTTTAACCCCTGAGTGAATTATTTTGCTGTAATTTACAGGGGTTTGTTGTGAATTCAAAGAATGTTTATTGCTAAACAAAGCTTTTGAATATTGTAAAATACTTTATTTTAGCTGGAATTAACTTTCGCTGAAAAAACTTGTTAGATGTTTTGTATTGAATTTATTTTCACTGATTTTTTACGAATTGTATTGAAAAAAGTATATTTGCTGGGTTTAATTGTCATTTAATCATTCCTTCAGTGAAAATAGTGAAAGTATTTACAGTAATTATCACAATTTTATAGCAGGTATTAATATGTCTGTAAATATTTTTATTGTTTACTTATTTGTTTGTCCACATTGAATGTTTTCATGAATGTGACATAATGCTTGTGACATTATTGAAACAAATATTATTTAAATTATTTAAAACATTCTTGACATCTTTATAAAATTTAATTATTATTATTTTAGAATCGTCGTCGTGGACCAGGTGTTTATGGAGTGGAGGTCGGTGGGTTTAGTCGTAGTGCTGTTGAGTTGAGGTCATCTGGTCCTGGTTGGGCAAGGGCATATGAAGTAGCCAGAATGGCAGCATTACCACATTTACTATATAAAGAACAATGGGAAAAGAAAAGGGCGCAGGTAAAATAATATTAAATATTCTAAGTAAACTCTAAAATGCTTTTGTGCACCTTCAGCATGTTTTTTATGCACGCTACAAATTAGACCTGAGAAACTGCATTTTTATCAACTTTTCTGTTTTATAAAATTTTGCTATTTTGGTTAAAAATAATATGAAACAATAGAAAATAGAAACTTTTCAAAAATGTTTAAGAATGTCTACAATTATTTATCCCCCCCCCCAGCATGCATCATTATCAGCACAATGTATACAGTGCAATGTCTATTCATGTAAACAGCTATCAAACACAGCATCACTTGGAGACCAATTGCTATTTACATTGTTCATTCAGACATTATCAACATCACGGTGAAAGCGTTCACAGAGAAATAACATGCTTTCTTAATTTACAGCAACGCAACTTGGGTCCTGGTAGTTATAGCATTAAAGATTTTGTTCAAGTAATCGATGAACGGCCACACAGTCTCCGTGGAATATGTGAAACTAGAGATAGACGCTTCCGTGAACATACACAGGTGCGTTATGATGTATTTAATGAGCGGTAAACACCTTTGTCAGAACAAAGGAAGGTCACCAATTGTTGGATCTATAAATATTCTAAGCTGATCAATTTCATTGTACCCAGGGTCTGCCATTCCATAAACTGAAGTGGTGTATTTGCTGTTTTTGATCATCGCGTAATTTAAAACGCATTAAAGTCAAGTGTGAATGGAAGTGAAGAAGACGTACTGCATTGTTTATATCAATAGTGTGTGTGTGCTTTCTTGGGGTTCCAGGCTTGCCCGATTAATCATGCTCACTGGAGCAGAATAAAATACAACTTCTGATAAATGCGGGAGACGCCTGGTACTTTATTAGAAAAACTCCTTGCAGTGTCATACTACTATACTATAATGGCTTCATAAGCTATGACAAGACAGCAATCAAGATGTTTAAAATACAGCATCCCTAGGAGACTGTCTCTGTACCATTCCTGTGCCTGTGTAACAGATGATGACTGTTGTTATGTAAATGTGTCAACTATATACATGTCATTAATGATAATTGAGAAGTACAATTGAGATAATTGCTATTGTACTCTGTGACATTCATTGTCTACTAGACCACGGTTACTTTTTTTGTAACCGTGACTATACCTTGAGTGTATAAGCTTCAGTGCAGTATGAGTTAGTTTCACAGACTTTGATATTAATGCGTTTATATTATTTTGTGGGTCTTTCATGCAACCTTCTCCTTACTACTCTGGAAAGATTGCCTTGATTTTGCTTGTAGGGTCAGTGGATGACCACATCGTTCATTAGTTGATATATGCTGCTAATATTAATATACCAACGTACCAAACATTGAATGTGACAGTTCTAACTTATTTGCACATACTGTATTACCCGATATTTTCCACAGAGACGAAAGTGCGACTGTCCTCTTCTTTGTGACAATGGAATAAATTGACATGGTTAATGAGCTCAATTGAGCCAATTTTTCCACACTAGTAGGAAGTGCAACCCCAACAAAATATTATAGGAAGGTTACCAGTCTAAGGGGGTGGGGGTGTTATGCAAGATCTTAAGGGCAATAAATGAATAAATGAATAAATGACAATTGCTTGACAAAATTTTGTTTAAAAATTCAACTGTGGAATAATTCAAAGGATGTCAACACTTTAAAGTTGATGAATATTATTTTGTTCTGACAAATATTCTATTTAAACTCTCTCATTATTCATCATTTTCAACCTTAATTTTCAACTTATTATACATTTTTGTTTAAAATTTGTTCATATGATGAGCTTTAATATTACAAGAATACCGCAAAAGTATGAACAAAGGTGGTACGGCGATTGAATCAACCAACGTGTATAGTGGAGGTCAATGCGATCTCTTACTGCCAGTATGCATACTTTGCAGTATTCTCGTGATAACTTTATTATACATCTTTTCCTGCTTGAGATATAATACACCCTGAAAAGTTTTCATGTTTGCACAATAGTTTACATTCAGTAACGGGATTCTATTTCAGTCATGTGATACATTGTAATTGATGCCTGAACAAAAAAAGTGTTTTATATAGTGTGTCGTAAATATGACGCACTTTTTTTTAAATAAGGACAACACATGTCTGTACACCTTTTATGGAGACTTGAATTCTGCCGTTTTTGCTGCCAGATGTAATATAATTAGAATTATACTTTTGTTTTGTAGAGTGAAATTCCAGGACCTGGCACCTATGGAAAAGGTGGCATCCCTCACTCGGCAATTGAAGAGAAAGCTCAAAAATCATTTAGTAATGTTGGTATGCTGGATGCAGGATCATCATCATCCAGAAATCTTCCCTCTGTGGTAAGTTACAATTACTCTTTTGTTTTTATTTCTTGTAAACGTTCTCAACTTAACTTGTGTATTTTGGGACTGACATGATCATTGAAAAACAAATTACCAGTACTATTTACAAGGTACAAAATAGCTTTTGCTATTTGCAGATTTTAAATAAAAAAAAATAACCTTTATTCTTGTTCCAATTTTAGGGATGTGAATTGGGTCCAGGTACGTATGAGAAACGAAGCTTTGCCGATGAATTAACTGGCAAAGTTACCAGTACACGAGGACCCTACGATTTATTCACCGGAGATAGAAATGCACCGATTAAAACAGGTCATCTGGCAATACCGGTAAGTGAGAAATTGGTTGCCAAGTAACATGTGTAGTCTCTATGGTTGTATATCACAAACATGAAGTAATATGTAATGTGTGCATTTCATTCAGTCACTTGGGTCAGGCAGAGTTCTTATTATCAGTATAACCTTGCAAGACAAGGTGAAAATGCAAATGTAGCCTAAGTATTACTTACACAATGTATCTGAATCAGTAAGTATGCAACTAAAGTAATCAATAATACACTGATATCTGCCCCAAACAAGATATGAATCTTAGCAGTGTGTTACTGTATTACCCTCACATAGGATTGACCAAGTTTGACAAATGAGGAGGGGGGGGTACCTGGTTCAAGGCACGGGTGGGTTCTGATGTACCACTATTTATTCTTGTAGTTGTAGATGCATTGTTTCAAAAAATTTGTAAATGAATGGGTCTTATTTTACTTTTCCCTTACAGTGCCATCCATTACCTCTGTGGTCTGCATAAATTAACTTGTTTATCTAAAGAAGTTGGTCTGACACAGACAGATTTCTAGATTTCAGCAATCTCTTTGAATTTTTATAAACTGTATTGCTCAACCTCCTTTATTTTGCTTTCACAGAACCTGGCAAATCTTGGGCCTGGTCAGTACAACTTGAATACATTCCTAGATAAATGGCAAGACGAACATCGTCAACGACATGGTAAATTTGGAAAAGTTGATCAGTATCCAGTCAGGCCATCCGAAAGAATGTACTGTGACACACTGTCACAATGGCCAAAGAAATCAGTAAGTGAAGGAGAGCGTGATTGGCTAATAAATGTCATGTGATACACTAAGCAATAAGTCAGGTGATCATGGTTTGATGAATATTGACACGGAACACAATTGTGTCTTTAATTGTCCAATATAACATGGAGTGTTTTTGTTTTTACAGGTTGATCCAGGCCCAGGAAATTATGATCCCCAGGAAGTCTCAAGAAAAGAAGCTCACAACTCACCAGCATTTATTTCATCAGCAGAAAGATTTGATAAACGAGCGAGAAAGTTTTTCATGGGTGGTTCAGTAAGTACATAATATTCATAGTCTGAATGAATAAATTACAACAAGTTTACATTAATAATTCTAGCATACTTACCTCAGACTATTACTGTAAAATACTTTATTTTCAAATGAAATTAATTTTCTGTGAAATGATTCAGTGAAGATAAAATCCAGTGAATATACTTTTTTTCCTATATTTTACATTCAACTCGTAAGAAATTCCATACAAAACACCCAAAAAGTCTTTTCAGCGAAAATTAATTCCAAAGTTTTTTACAGTAAATGCATTCACTACTTTGTATTTGGTTATTTGTGTACAATTATTTCTACTATTCACTGTCAATGCTGCACTGTTACTTGTTTCAACATCTTTCTGCTTGTAGCAGTCTCTGTGCATATTAAAACTTCAATATAAAGCATCCTTTTTGGAGTCGATACCATGTGACTAAGTGGAGGATGTTCCAGGATACATACATAGGCAATTTGGTGCCAAGCATTGGTGGATTACTGGCATATTGCTTTTCATTTCAGAATCCGGTTGGTGCTGGTCGTTACGACATACAAAGATGGGAAGAGGCGCAGCACAAGAACGGCCATGCTAGCGTGTTTAATTCAAAAGTAACAAGAGAACCCAAATCCAGGGATAGTATGCTACAGTAAGTATATAGGAACTATTTGATATCACCTGCTAAATGGCATAAATGTACTTCCCCAGGAGTTTGCATTAGTGAGGGTGGAAAACTTTTTTTTTATGCGAGGTATGTCACTTTCATTATGTCAGTTTGAAACTGTCAAAGTCAACTATTGATACGCTTTGCAAAATGAATCCTCAATTCTTCACTATATTTTTTTTTCAAAAATGGTGATCAATGTGGAATTATGTGCATCTAGTCCAAATTAATAAAAAAGGTTCTGTTTCCCATCCTCGGGAAAATTGAAAAATGATGTGTTGACGTGATTTTTAATTCTTGTTTTTATTATAACAAGATACATGTTCAATGTTTAACTTGGAACGAAAAAAAACATACTCTGAAAATAAATATTCCCTCAAACTATCATATGTTGCACACTTTACCAGTATGCAAAATAAAAAAAAAAAGGACTGGGCAACCGTTCATTTCAAACACCATTAGCCATTTCCCCTGCTCTGTGATATGTGTGGATAATTCTTTCAAAACTGAATGATTTACTTCTTTGTATCTTGTAGAGAACGAATCAAAGCTAAGAACATGAGCCCAGAAGAAAAAATTTTCATCGCCCAACCACAGAATGAGGCCGATTACGTCAGAGCCAGGAGAGTGGTTTATGCGCAATAAAACAAAACCAGAACTGCCGTTTATCACTTTATGAAACAATACACGTGTCAAACAAGAATCTTTCAGGAGGGTATTGCAAATGATTTTTACAATAAAATTAAATTATACATGATTTACTCTGGAGATATTTACACCCAAACATTTTTAAAATGTTCCTGCAGCCCAAACTGAAATAGTCGACTCAGTTGTTCAGGCACTGCTGTAATTTGCAGAGTGTGCAACACAAGCAAGTGTCTGATATTTATAAAAAATATTTGAAATAAAATCAAGTATGTTAATGTGGCATACTCCAACCACGAACTGACATCACACTTTTCAATTTTACTGTGAAATTCTATGGGGTTTTCACATGTTATTGAAACCTTTGGAGTAACTTGAGTAGATTCACTTCAATTTACGAAAATTCAAATTTTAACATACAAATTTGTTTAGGAATGCTGATGTCTATAATAAACATGATTTTGCCGAAAATATCAACACTAATATTTCTATATACAATACAATGTCTCAAGATTGTGAACAAAATATAAAGACAAGCAGTCATTTTGAGCTACAAATAGGTATTTCGCATAAATATTCCGTCCACTGAATAAATTGTTTGAAAGTGAATTTGAACGCTTTTTAAGAGTGAAACTATATGTATATTTTGAACTGTTAATTTATTAGTGATATTAATAGTATTTAAATATTGAGTTGTCAAAAAACACTCATTATTTTGTCTGATTGG